CTCGACCTTTGCTCCCGAGCGCCAAGAGAAGCCATTGGCATCGACCTGCACCAAGAGTGAGCCATTTGAATCCCGTGTGTAATCCAAGCCATAACACCCACCTGCTCATTAGCCAGCACTGTCTTATCAACCGGATCGTAATTGACCAACGCCTCAGCTTGGTATGCAAGGCCCTTCTCGTATAACATAAGGAATATCCGCTGGGTATGTTCGTAGAACTCGGGTGCGCACGTTGCTAGTTCCTGCGTTATAGACAACCAACATGTCAGCAAAGCTGGTAATTATCTAGGCCGCACATCCAATACACATACCCGATCCCAATCGAAAGAGGTTGAAATACTTCGTAATTGCTCTTTCATCTTCATTATATTCGACTCCGTCCATTCTGCAGGGTCTATCCCCCGTTCAATCGCCGCATTCTCCGCCGGCAGGCCAAAAGCATCCCAACCCATTGGATGAAGGACCTCATGTCCGCGCATCCGGTAAAACCTAGCCAGCACATCTGAAATCGTGTACACGCGCAGATGACCCATGTGCAACGTCCCCGACGGGTAGGGGAACATCGACAGGATGTATGATTTGGGTTTTGCGTCTCCGTCGGCCGATGCCTTGGAGGGCGGCTTCAATGAATCTGTGTGCCATTTTTCCTGCCACTTTTTATCCAGGGCCAACAGATCTAGTTTTCTGGAGATTGATGTCGCAGCTGCGGAGGTTGTCGCATAACGAGAAGGAATACCGGTCGGTCGTGAAATCGGACGAGATGCGCAGTTCCATCGGGCTGGGTGTGGGAGCGCCGACCGTGCCGGGCTCAATCGAAAACGTAGTAGGGATTGCATGTTGGTCGTATAATCATTATGCCGTGGGATAGGAGTGTTGCGCCATTGACTGGCGTGGATTGGTGGGCTGGAGAGCTGGCAGAGGTGGAATCTCCGTCAAGATTTCTTGATCGGATGGCTGAAGTCATATCGGCGGATCGGCATCGCCCGATAGGGAATAGTGTCAGCAAACAAGCAACATTGGTAGACACATGAGATTGTCAGGGAGTTATAGATTGAACAAGCCTGTTGTAGCTATACGATTTACTCTGAGCCTCATTTGGATTCAGTACTAGTCATTAGTAAAATTATGTAGAGATATTCCGGGAACGGCTATTACTACAAGCGAATCTACTACTGCTAGTTAATAAGTATCCTGCGGGAATATATAACCACAGCTACTTAGTAGTACTGTGACACTGAGGAGACTGAATCATTGGGTCAACTCACCAATTATACTCAAATACTACCAATAGTAATATCATGAATATGCATCTATTAATGAGTACTAAGCTAACCAATATTCTATACATGACCGACTGCAGCAGAGAAGCAATAACCAATACGCATACCGACCGGGACACTTCCATACTCTTGATGGACTGGTCGTGCATGACACCCTGCGAATGTAGATAATGAGCTTGAAGAACACGCCTAACGCCCGAAATAACAGAGCTGCTTCTTGGTGAATTTCTTGTGCTTCCCTATGAAGTCGTGATGTTTTTCTTGTACGGCCATGGGCTGCAGAGTGCCTATGACGTTGAGATTGCATCTATTGACAAAACTAGAATCATTGAGTCGGAAAATAATCACCTACAAAGTAACAAAGGTGTACACATTGACGGACTTGAGAAGCTCGGATTGGAAAAGAACTCGTAAGTAGCTGGTTGGACTAGGGCACCATCATCAGAGCCAAATTGTTGGCTATGTACACCAACAACACCAGTTCTAGCTATGGTATCAGATCACCTTGCGGAAGATCATGACGAGAGAAGAAAGAATGCGACCAATAACGATGAGAGGCCTCTATCGTCCTAAGTTCAAGGGATTGCAGGCTCGGCAGGTACCCATTGTGCCTAGAGACTTTAGTAGTATCTAGAATCTCGCACCCAATCCGTCGGGCTCGGAGACTTGCCGTAGTCTCGTTGATTCTCGAGCTCCGACTCGCCATCCACCCACCGCATGTACTGGAATTCCCGTCCGCATCGCCAAGATTGGATCTAGATAGAGCTTCCCGTCTCGATCCCATCTGCTTTTACTGGACCAGATCCTTTCTTTAGACGCGGGATCGTGAATCTCATGGCCCACGTATTCATGAACACCTGTTCCCACGGAATCACGCCCTGAAGAATTTAACCAGGTGGCCTAGACATTCCAACTGAGTAAGTACCTACTACGGGGCTCCACTCACGGAGTACTCCGTGTGACTTTCCAGATTGATCAAGAGAATCACGAGTAGATTCTATTTTCTGACTCAGTTTATGAAGGCTCGGTTTCTGGATCAGCCACCCTCGGCACGGAAGAACCTCTATGAGGAAACTGGCCTCCTTTTTCCAGTGTGAATCATCGCTTGTTCGGATGGCAGCTCCTCTAACTAGTCCGTCCGTTTAGGGGTAAATGGAAAAAGGAGAGCCATTGTAGGGGAAATGTTTCTATCCTTAGGGTTCCATATGGCGGCTGAAGGACGGATAGCGCTCTAGAACCTTTGCATCATCGCTCTCGTGTGCGTACCGAGCTATTGGTGGCACACGAACCGGCCCTTCATGTAGATGACCAGCAAGCCACCTCAGCAAGCCGGCAACTTATTCCAGACATGGTGGTAATATAGAAGCCGTGGGATTTACTCCCGACGCGTTGATGACGCTCGTGCTGTGCAGAGCTGCTGTACGATACATCTACGGCCAACAGTGGGGTAAGTAAACACGAGCCGGAGTAAACCACGAAGCGTGCCGATGCAAAGATAGATATAGGGGAGCCTGCATCGCCTCGAAATATGTACGTAGATCGATCGGCAAAGCAGTCTATTTTTTGACCGTCCTGTCGGAATTGCACCTCCGTCGTCACTGACTTTGATTGCAGCACGCGTGGATAGTAGGGAGCGGAAGAGTCAACTGTGCCTGAATCCCCAGGCAAAAATTAAGGGGTCACGGGCGGCAAGTGGGAATCTCGGGATCGGACGGATTTCTCCCCTTTTATTATTTTTTCCCTCCACCGAAGCTCCCGCCCGGTTCGAGGATGGATTAATTGATTTGAACCCAGGTCCCAGAGCTTCTGCTGGCCGTTCCCGCTTCGATCTTTGGATCCGGTGGGCGGAGCGGAGATGAAATCCCCATTTCTCTCCCTTCACGAACCATGGGTTCAGGGTTTCTATTAGTACTGTGGAAGATTCCACCCGTGTCAGCCATGTCTTGAGGCCATAAATCGGGGCAATTCTTGTTTCCCCCACCACCCACCGGTCACCCCTTGGGAAAAGTGATTTAATATTAAGCAAGTATGGTAGCTCATCTCGCTAATCCAAACCGGCTTGACAGAGACTCCACTTGGGATGAGTTGGCAACCTTAGGAACTGGGTTGATCCTTAGCTCTCTCTGCCTTTCAGGTTTTCTCTCAATTGGCCCCTATCATTGGGCTTTGACCGTGACAAAAGGACCAATATTCCCCTCTCCACTGCCAATAAGACCTTCTGGAATGGCCGGGCCTACCGTGACCCCTCAGCCACATCATCTCAGTGGATCTCGATCGCCGGTTCCTGTCGTCTTCTCCTCGAGGCCTCGCACTCCACTGGTTGGACTGGTCACAATCGGAATGGGTGCCTCGTGGGACCGATGGAAAGGATACCCCAAATGTGACGAGTACTACACTAAACTGGTACCTGAAGTTTTGTAGGTACATACAGGTGGGTGGAAAAGTAATCGTGCCTGCGGCACATGCGCTGCACCTATTATGTACGACGGCGAGACCTTGCATTTCAGCCGTGGGGAGTTGCGTCCCAACCAGCCTACTACGTGCTCATCTTTCTTGTTCCTGCATGTGTGTAGGTTAGGGGAGGATGATGTTTGTGTCTCCTTGTGGGCTGAGGATCGAAAAGAGCCTGCCTGCTTGCTCTCCGGAACAATCACTGAATTCTTTTTAGTCTGAGTTGGTCCTAATTTCTCTGCCCGAGGATATTATTAGAGCAACACCACCACTGCCACCGGAGACAAAGCACAACGGATGATGAAACCATGGGAGGGGGAGTGCATTGAATGAGCACAACTTTCGTATTTGGTGGACAGCATTTTATTATGAAGAGACATATTATATTATAAGAGCTGATTGGCGATCGGGGCCTTATGACTCTACGATGTCTTGGAGGAGGATGACGAGGAAAGCGTTCTGGAGTTCCCAAGACAGTTTAGCAGAGCTTACAAGACTAGTTCCAGACCCTCCTGGCGGCCATCCCGCGATCCCCGTTTAACTTCACCAGGCGAATTGGGAGGCGGGCGTCTTTCCCCAATGCAGGTGGACAAGCGACGAGCTGCAGGACCATTCCTTATCCGCCAATCGTGCGGTTTCAAAGTGGTGCTCTAAAGCATGCAGCCTGCAGCGCCCCTGGATCGTCCATCGTCCATTGGAACCATTGACTGGCCGTTCACACCGCCGCTGCACAACTGGCTGGTCTAAAGTGGGAGGATGGCCGATGTCCGGGGAGGGTTCCTTTAAATATTACTACGCCCGGGCTCGTCGTTTCAGGTGGAGGATCCCTTTGCTTCCACTCGTTTGTGTCTTTTCGTCGCTCTTTTGGAACTGGTTTGCGGTGCTTTTCTGGTCTCGGGTTAGACGCTCTTTTTCTTCTTTACTACTACTACTCCGTAGTAATCCGTTCTTTGGTTGCGAACCTGTCCCGCCGGTCGACATGACTCGCTAATCTTAACCTACTGGCATTTTTTTCTCGGTCGGATCCACTCACTCTCTTTGGCTTCGTTGTGCCCGTTGGACAGCGTTATCCGCTCTCTTCCCGTCGTTTTTGTGTCGAGACATTCTTTATTGCATCATAAAATTCTAGACAGCAAATAAACACTACACTATCACCACAACAAACACCGACTGGGCACTGTTACTCTTCCCCGGTTCACCCTCGGCGGCCATTGCTCTCTCGCCCTGAGACGTGCCCCCCTCGGTGGTGGTGGTTATTGTTGCTGCCGCTGTTGCTTTTTACTCTCATTTCCCAAACCGAGCAGTCGTCGATGATCATTCTCATCGCCTTGAATCTTGTGTTCTTCTAGATCTCTTCCCCCCCCTCCTCTCCTCCACTTCTTCCCCTCCGAAGTGCCTTATAGAGCGGGGGTGCTCCTTTGCTTAGCCGCTTTTCGAGATCTCTTTTTTTTGTTTTGTTCCCTCAGGTCCTTCTGGGGAACCCCATCTTTCTACAAGCTCCTTAATCTTGGTGTCTACTGACTGATAATGAACTAATACTCCCAACATGCGCTCAGCTGCACCTACCACGAACTCTCCCAAACGGAGAGCTCTTCATGAGCGCACCCCTTCCCATACGAATGAGAACTCCCCGCCTTCATCCTTGCGAGCCGTCAGCGAAAAGTACAACGATCAGCAAGAACCCGACGTGTACACCTCCACGCCTTACCCGACAAAGCCGGAGCAGATCCTTTTACCGCGTCCTGGGAAAGGCCAAGATTTCATTCCGGACTCCCGCTTCCATGTCGATGAAGCGCCGGATCACTATCACGGAAATACCTCCACGGAACTCAGCCACCTCGGTGATAGCAGTTTGATCGACCAGTCGGTTAGCGATCCCTGGGACTTGTCTTCAACGTTCGATGCCGCCAACACCCCGTCGCAGGTCTGGGAAGACGATCCGTCCTCCAGCAAGTCTTCCTTTCCGGAGCCGGTCCTTCACGAATCCAAGCCGACCGATCAGAAATCGGATCAAGGTTCCGTCGCCGCGTACTCAGATGAGGAGCCCAACAGCCTGCCCAGAGCCGTCCCAACGATCAAAACCGTCGTATCGCAGACGCCGTCACGCGTTCCCTCGGGCCCCGAGACTCTGGCTTCGAGCAACTCCAGCCCCAATGTAGTGCCAATTGGGCCGCCTTCCAGTCCGAATTTCGTCGCGCTCGACAGCTCCAGTCTGAACTTCGTTCCTCTGGGTGCATCATCGAATTCGGCCTCGATCACCCGCTCGAATTCCCTGTCCTCGCTAAACTCCCTGGGAACAGTGATCCGGTACATTGGAGCCGCTCAGTGGACGCATGGCTCGTCTTCAGAACACTCCAGCTCGCGCTCGCGTTCGCAATCGGTCCGCTCTAACCCTCCATATCGGGTGCCTTCCGTGCGATCCAATTCAACACAAGCTCGCGAACGCAGTCACTCTCGCTCTATCACCTCGTCGTCGCGTAGCGGGCCGCCATCAGACATTCAAGCCATCGTTGACAGCGGCGTATTCATCCAATACCCGACCATCCAGGCGCCATCTTCGTCAAGCTCTAGAGTTGACGTGTCACATTCGGAAGAAGATGCATCGGATCAGAACCCACAAGAACCCACCACGGATTTTTCTTCGGAGCGTTTCAGAACTCACCTGTCAACAGTTCCCTCCATGTGGTCCGCCGAATGTGACTCTAGAAGCATTTCTCCGGCCGCCGACTCTGTCAACAGCCAGATGGATCCTAAACGGCCTTCTGCGGCGCTAGTCCGTCAAAGACCCACGTCGTCTTCGATGTGGTTAGTGAGCGATTCGGACGGTGATGAGCGGATGGACAATCTTTCGAGTTTGCCAGCGCGTCCCACAAACCCGGCGGTTCCCTGCAGTGTTTCGTCGGAGTCCAGACAGAGCAGCATGCGGAGCAACATGCGGCCTCCCACCAGTGGAAGCTTTTCCTTCCACTTTCTGCCAAACTGGGCCAAAATGTACTATGGCGCTGGCGAGCAAGCCGAGGATTCTGTCTTATCTGGTGCGGAAATCAGTCGGCCACCGTCTGCGCGCGCCTCTACCTCCCACACAAATGCTCTCAACCGGTTACCGACCGCTACCAGCCGGACGAGGACGAGGACGTTTGGCAGCGAAATGCGAGAAACCCTGCGGTGGAAACCTGACCCGCGCGATCCACGGAACCACTGGGTAAGGGATCCCGAATCACAGACCCGGGAACCATCCCGCAATCGACTTCGACATAGCTGGTCCCCTCATCTATTTCCCGACCGGCGCGCGGTTAATCCGAGGAGAGGTACCTGGGGTGCACCGTCCCTGGATTCAAGAACGGAACCACTCCTTGGACGCAGGAATATCCAAGTGTGGTCGTTCTGTGTTGGATTTGTGTTTCCGCTCGGTATGCCCCCATTGTGCCCGTGATAGTCGCCTGACATGTCAACTGACTGTGTACACTAGCCTGGTTAATCGCGTCATTCCTCCCCTTACCGACCAAACCGGACGCTATTCCAGAAGCCGACGTCGAGTCACAGCTCGAAATGACGCTTCGAATGCGATTGTTCGATCTGGAGACACGGCGACACGAAAACGCTCGGTGGTGGAGAAACCTCAACCGTTGGATGAACCCTTTGGGGTTGGTGATTATCACCATTGTTGTATGTTCCCTCTCTTCCTTTCCGTTGACTATTCGATGCTCATACTTTCGCAGGTCACCTTGGCTGTTGTGGGTACCACAGTCGGCTTCTAGACCGGTACATCTGGCTTCTATAGCGTCAGCATGTCCGTGTCTAGCTGTGCTCTTCTGTCCATGACCTCCACGATTATTTGCTTGTACTACCATTTCCCCCTTATTCACGCCCTCCCTCGCCGGCTATGCCGGATCCTCTCCTCGATTGGATCGATCTTTGCTTTCACCGTTCGGAGTCGATTCCTCCATTATACCCCCCTTCTTCTTTTGCATGCTACATCCCCCACATACCCTTGCGCGCTTGATACCGCCGCATCTCTATTCACCCTGCGGCTGCTTGGTTTGTTTACCTTTCTCAAAACACTCGACACGATTGGACGACGTAATGCTTCTAATGTTCTTTTCTTTTGTGCCTTATATTCCACCTGGTGTTCTGGACTCTATTTTAGCCCGCCCTTGGACCATTATTTGGTGAACAATGGGGTGGTTCAATCTGGGAGCGTGAGGCGACGGATTTAATCAAGGGTTCACGACATTGCATGGATATATGCCATTTTCCTTTTTCCTTTTCCTTTTTTTTTTTCTCCTTATTTTCCTATATCTTCACTTCTCCCCCATGTACTACTTATGGATACATGTTTTACTTATGACACCGTGACCAACATTATCACAGTATATATACAAGTGATTGTCGCGCTCTGCGTGGCTGCTCTTGACCAAAAATAGACAATATATGATATTATACTCATATAGTAACCTCTCTGCACCCATTGTAAATCAGCCTGGCCATCCTAGTTGAGTATCAGTTCGTTCCTACTTTATTTAGTTGTTATGATTGTTCAAAATCGAATTCAAATTCAACTCGAAATAAATGATTATTATCCCTTCAAGACAGGTACCCAGCATCCTGATAAAACCGACAGAGCTAAGAAAACACGATATTGTTGAAATATTTCCCCTGGCTTCAACTATGCAAAAGAAAGTAAATCTTGCTGGTTACGCTTGTTGTCGGAGGCTTCATTAGCATATAAGCACGAACGAAACGGAAAAAGGTGCATCAGCGCCAAAGAAGCATACATAACAATAGTATACGAATGAATCATAAGGATGTCACTCATTCAAAGGAGCATAAACAACGAGTGAAAAAAAACACGCAGCCGCTTTGGAGCAGCCAAACAGTCTAATATACATTCTATCGTCAACCCCGTCAGTCATCCTCGTTCACACGTGTCGAATTAATTGGCTGTAAGCCAGACCGGTAGCAGGTCCTGAGACCTGAGATCTTTAGACCCTTTTTCCTTTAGGGGGGTCACATGGGAAGTCACAGGATCAAAACAATCATGTGAGCTTGCGGCCGATCTTGTTTTCCACAACTGCTTTCAGTTCCTCTCCACTCGGCATGGTAACGGCACTGCCGCGTCTGCGCCTGGCTTCGATCTCACCCCGAATCTCCTGCACGGCTTCGTCAAAGGCCTGGACAGCGTCACTTGGAAGACCCAGTGTCGGCTGTTGCAGGTTGTCGGAGCTGGTTGAGCGTGTGACATGAGGCCGGTTGCGGGCTTTGAGTTTCTGGATGAGGATGCCCTTGGCGGGGCTGGCAAAGAAGGCAATGCTGAGGATGTTGCCGACTATTCCGTAGAAGTAGACGCTCCGCCAGACGCTGATAGAGGCGCTGAATCCGAGGAAGATGAAGGGCATCACCGTGAAGGACAGAGTGACCTGAGTCGCGAACCAGCTCATAATGTCATAGTAACGCTTGTAGGGTGTGGGCTTGCTTCCGTCCGGAGTGAGGAAGAACGGACGCACATAACGACGGAAATCTGCGTATTGTCAGTATGAGAGCTCAGTGAACGGGTGGGTTGACTGGGTGAACTCACTCTTGGCTCCGGTCTGGATGAACGACCCAAGGATGAAGGTCAGATAGTATCCCGGATAGAAACCATGCCAGAAAGCGCTGGTCGTAAACGTGGCCAGACTGGCACGGAAGCCCGGCTTCTTCCCTCTGGGAGTGACGCGCAAGTAGACGTAGTTTCGCAGCCAATGGTTGGTGTTCTTGTTCCAGCTGCCCAGATATCCGTGGGAGTTTTGCGCTGTCTCAAGAGCCCAAGGATCGATATTCTCCAATCGGTTCCAGAAGACCTTGCCGGACTTGGGATCGAACCCATTGTACCCCATGCCAGACAGGATACAAGCACCTTCCGTCAGGGACCAGACGCCGTAGTACTTGAGGCGTGCGGTTAGCCCGACCATGTGCATGATCCAGACTCGTCGAGGGAAAGAGTAGCCCATGTATCTAGGACTCAGGAGGGCTTCCTGATTGTAGTAAGATCCCAACTGCAGGAATGCCAAAATCCATCCTAGTCCAACCAGGGCCTTCTTCGTGGCAGGAGTTCCACTGCGAGGAATCTTGCGCTTCTTCCGGGTCGGGGGCACCTTCGACGGGTCGGTACCCGGGGGGACCTCGAAAAGAGTAGTGTCGAGCCAGCGACGGTAGTCGACGTATTCGAAGGATGGACCACCGAAAAGAGCCGGGAAGAATAGTACGTAGCCGGTGTAGTCCAGGATAGTCGGGAACTGCGTGATCGCGGCATACTTTTGAGGATCCGACAGCTGCGTTTGGGGAAGTCGGCCATCATGCACGTTCCAACAGAAAGAGGTAAGCTTCATGACAAGGACCATCTGGGCCCCGGTGATATCAATCGCCTGAGGGTCGTTGACAATCTGGCGGTAGATGTGGCTGATGGACATGTGGCCCATCAAGAAGATGAAGCCAATCCAGGGCATCAACGATCCATCAATGTAGTAGGCGATCAGATAGGTACCGGCGGCGCTATAGAATAAGGTGCGAAGGCCATCCCATAGGTCAAAGAGGCCGACGAGATAGAACAAGGAGACCGAAATAATGAAGGCATTCTTCTTCCAGGGTTGAGCGTCGGGGATTCTCTTCAACAGACCGGCGAGGGGATACGAGAGGAGGAATGACGCAATGAGCTTCACTGTTCAGCGGTGAGGGACTGATTTGGGGACGAAGGAGGGTCAGGACGGGGAGGGAGAGGCATACGCTCATCAACCGAAGCTCCAGTCGCATTGGCTGGATACTCGAAGACTAAAAAGAGAGGCCGTTAGCATGATCTTCACGCGGGGAGGAGTGGCGCGCACTTTCCAGTGCTGCGACGGAAGGTTTCCAACATACTTTGATTGATGAATGGTAACATCGTGGACGCAAATCGCCGCAAAGGACGGTCAATAAAAAGAAAAGAAAAGCTTAAACACCAAGGCCGATTATTAGCTGTGTCGGTACGACATCGAGCCCAGAGATGAAGTGGTTGAAGAGCTGGAGAGAAGCAAAGGGGAAAAACAAAAAACAGGGCGGACGGGAAGATGAAGAAGAAAAGGTTAAGGACGGGTATCTCAACGGTCTGATATCACATGGCAGCTCTCCGATCATCTGCGTGTCTCTCCTCAACCATTCCATCCGCCTTCCCCAGTCAACTCACGTTCCTCTGATCAACCACATTTTTGATGCTGATGTATCATCTCCATTGTCGATCTTGAAAGTCTAGAACAATCTCCACAGATCTGCTAGACCACAACTTTTCCTTTTCCTTCCTTCCTCTTGCCCCTCTCTCCACACACCCCCTCATTCAATATGGATGTCGTCGCGGCGGTGTCGGGATACATCTCCAAGATGGTCACCGCGGGGGACCCTTCGGCGCCGGGCTCTTCCAGCTCCTCATCGGCTAAGATGAAGATATTACTTCTCGACAGTGAGACAGTGGGACTTGCGCTTCTCTCATTGATCCCCGTGGAAGCTGTGCGCTAATCCACCCCTTCCAGGTACCCATTGTGTCCACCGCCATCACCCAGTCCGCTCTGTTGAACCATGAAGTCTACCTCATCGATCGGCTTGACAACGCCGCTCGCGAACGTATGCGACACCTCCGCTGCCTTTGTTTCGTGCGCCCTTCCCCCACCTCCATCCAATTCCTTATCGACGAGCTCCGCGAGCCCAAATACGGAGAATACTACATCTACCTCACCAATATCATTCGCAAGTCCTCCCTCGAACGACTCGCTGAAGCCGATTCCCACGAGGTAGTTCGCGTGGTGCAGGAACACTTTGCCGACTTCCTCGTGATCAATCCCGATCTCTGCTCCCTGAACTTGGGCTTCCCACAGCAGCGCTTGTGGAGCCAGTCGCCAGATCTGTGGAATGCGGATGCCTTACAGAGAGCCACTGAGGGGGTCATTGCCATGTTGTTGGCGCTGAAGAAGAACCCGTTGATCCGTTACGAAAAGAACAGTCTGCTGGCGAAGAAGCTGGCCACAGAGGTCCGCTATCAAGTGACGCAGGAAGAGCAGCTCTTCAATTTCCGCAAGACCGATACACCCCCGATCCTACTGATTCTGGACCGCAGAGACGACCCGATCACTCCGCTACTGACCCAGTGGACCTACCAAGCGATGGTGCATGAGTTGATGGGCATTCACAATGGGCGCGTGGACCTCCGGGACGTGCCGGAGATTCGGCCGGAATTGCGTGAAATCGTCCTTTCTCAGGATCAGGATCCGTTCTTCAAGAAGAACATGTACCAGAACTTTGGTGATCTGGGTCAGAACATCAAAGAGTATGTCGAGCAGTATCAGGTCAAGACGCAGAACACGATGAACATCGAGTCCATCGCAGACATGAAGCGCTTCGTAGAGGACTACCCCGAATTTCGTAAACTATCGGGCAATGTGAGTAAACACGTCACGCTGGTTGGGGAGCTGAGTCGGCGCGTGGGTGAGGATGACCTGCTCGACGTCAGTGAGTTGGAGCAGAGCTTGGCTTGCAATGACAACCACGCCAATGACCTCAAGGTATGCGACCTTCTTCTCTCTCCGGGAATGGAGCTTGCAGCAGACCAGCTATTGACACTGTCTCTTGTGCAGAACCTACAACGGATCATCCAACTACCTAGCGTTCCCGCAGAGAATAAGCTGCGCTTGGTTGCTCTGTACGCCATCCGCTACGAGAAGCAACCTAACAATGCACTCCCGATCCTGCTCGATCTCCTCGTCACCGCCGGCAACGTCCCATCATACAAAGTCAACATCATCCCCAAACTACTTGCCTATCACCACTCCTTGCAAGCCCCGCCGGTCGCGGGTGGCTTTTCCGACCTCTTTGAGTCCACCTCCCTCTTCTCCGGGGCCCGAGACCGGTTCAAGGGTCTAAAGGGCGTCGAAAACGTCTACACGCAGCACTCGCCTCGCCTGGAAGCCACTCTCCAAAACCTGATCAAGGGCCGCCTGAAGGAGCTGCAATACCCGTTCCTCGAAGGCGGGGGCCATACACGAGACAAGCCCCAAGATATCATTATCTTCATGGTGGGCGGAGCGACGTACGAGGAAGCGAAAATGGTCGCCCAAGTCAATGCTAGCTCACCTGGAGTAAGAGTCGTCTTAGGAGGTACCTCTATTCACAATAGCACCAGCTTCCTCGAGGAAGTCGATGATGCAGTGAGTGGCTGGCCTGAGCCCGCCCCCTCGTCCGCCGCTGGTCGGCTTCAGAGGGCAGTCGGACATTAGCCTCGGCTTTTGCCTCTGTGTATCTGTAGCTTTTTTTTTTATCATTATAATATATCCTGAAATTTTAGCTGTTAGCCAATTTTATGTCTATCACAACAGTTCGCTCCGCAGACCACTATTGTGACTTTGCAAATACAAGAAATGAAGCTACTTTTGCCTCGAGCTACTTGGACAGAGTATACATGGTACCTCCAATCAATCCGGCCAAGACGCGTGCATAGTTAATAGTTCATTC